GATTCCACTTGGCATCAGTGACAGCTGTGAATACATCTATGCAATCAGAGGTCTCAAATGATGACTATATATCTGTCAATATTTTGATTTTGGGGGGAAAATCACTAGCCTCATAGTGGTTTCATTCTAAGGAGGAGAGACAGAAACCAGACAGATAAGCATGAGAGAGAGAGAGAGAGAGAGAGAGAGAATGAGAATGAATGGAGCAGGGTGTTGATACAGGGTGTCTGGTGGAGGATTAGGATGAAGGTTACTCTTTTATTTAGGTGATTCGGGAAGGCCTCTCTGGCGAGGTGACATCTGCACAGTGACCAGACAGGACGAAGAGATGCAGCCCTGATCTCCTGAGGTTTCGGTGCTACAACTTTAAGGAAAGATGGGTGGTCACCTTTTGTGTGCTAGTGTTCATTCAACTCTGCTTATAACTGTTTTCACTAAAAATCTCATGTAATTTATACTCATGTTCCACTTCTAGGAATTATCTTAAGGACAAATCAGGACTATGCACAGGTTTATGGCTGAAGTTATTTTAATTTTACTTATTAATTTGAAAGGCAGAGTTAGAGGCAGAGGCAGAGGCAGAGGCAGAGCAGATAGAGGTCTTCCATCCGCTGGTTCACTCCCCAGATGGCCAAAATGGCCGGAGCTGAGCTGATCTGAAGCCAGGAGCCTGGAGCTTCTTCTGGGCCTCCCACATGCATGCAGGGGCCCAAGGACTTAGGCCATCTTCCACTGCTTTCCCAGGCCATAGCAGAGAGCTGGATTGGAAGTGGAGCAGCTGGGACTCAAACCAGCGCACATAAGGGATGCTGGCACTGCAGGCGTCGGCTTTACCCACTATGCCACAGTGCCAGCCCTTATGGCCAAAGATATTAATGACAACATTATGTATAGCAGACAAACATGGTAAGTAGTAGAAAATACCCTTCCTTCTTAACCTTCAAGGCCGCATTGGGCAACTCTGCTGTGTAACTGCTAAGCCCTGTGGATTTCTCAGATGGAGGAAGGCCTGTTTACTTGTCTACTTCCCTGCACTTGACTCTGAGCTCCCTGAGGGCAGGGCCTACGTGGCACTCACCTATCAGGACATCTGGCACTTTAGCAGCACTAAAGATGTGTCTGATCAAAGACTGGTTGCATGCTTTTTGGCGTATCTATGGATGGAATGTTATGCAGCCAGTACAAATCATGGCTTTAAAAAAATTAACAGAGAAATGATAATATTAAGTATAAACAACAGACTACAAAACTATACACAGCAGAGCTGGTGCTGTGGTGCAGAGGATTAAAGCTGCGGCCTGCAGTGCTGGCATCCCATATGGGTGCTGGTTCTGGTCCCGGCTGTTCCACTTCTGATCCAGCTCTCTGCTATGGCCTGGGAAAGCAGTAGAAGTTGGTCCAAGTGCTTGGGCCCAAGTGCTGCACCCACATGGGAAACCTGGAAGCAGCTCCTGGCTCCTGCTTTGGATCAGTGCAGCTCCAGTTGTTGTGGCCAACTGGGGAATGAACAGTGGATGGGAAACCTCTCTGTCTCTACCTCTCTCTGTAACTCTTTCAAATAGACAAAAAAAATCTATCTATCTATTACACACACATATACATAAAACCACCACTATGGGAGACCAAAGGAAAGGACAGTTTCTGAATGAGATTAGGATCATTTCTTCCTTCTCCTTCTCTTCATAAGTTTTATTTTCTACTTTGGGCATGATTGGCTTCATAATCAGTAAAAGTGAGTTATTTAAAAATACTCAAAGGGACTCGTTCCATATTGGAGCACAGAGTTACCACTCTGATCCTGGCAACCTCTTGAGAAGATGCAAGATTCAGACGTGTCCTCAGGTGTGGGTTTTCGATCGCCGTGGAAGCTGTCACCCTCAGCACCTCCCGCAAGATTCTCCGCACTAGATGTGTTGCTGTAAAAGTAGGTGGCTTCTACCCCCAAGCCCGGAGCTCCCTCTGAGACTTCTTCCTCTGTCCATCGACTTCCTCCAAGGAGACTACCACGACTGAGAATAAACATTTCCCTAGCGCCTCCTGGGAACCCAGGCAGGAAATGGGTGAGCATTTCATGCATGTGGCTGATCCCTAAGCATTCGATGGCACAGGCTTCGGTCTCAGATTCTTCAGTCTCTTGCATTGACTCTAAGAAATACTGGCTGGAAAAGAAATCCACCCCATTTTTCGTAAGCTACCTGTTTTTCTTGGGGGAACCACCTTAGAAATATTATTCATTCCTTCACGGTTCTTTTTTGGTTTCAGGATGGCTTTCTCAGCTGGGCTCACTTAAAAATTGGTATATAAACCATTTAAAAAATTGTGGTAAAAACTATAATGAATTTTTGCATTTCCAGGGAGCTTCCCCATCAAAGAGCTCAAAGCTTGCCAATAAACCTTAGATTTCTCAAGAACCAGTGCTACTGCACAAGGAAGGGTGGGCACGGGGAAGCATTCCGAACTCACATGACATTGTTCTATCTACCCAAGTTCATTTACCATGTTTTAAGACAACGGCCTCACAAAGCTAATTCACCAGGAGTCCAGCTGTTCCTGCATTCAGTGTTTTTCTCCTTTTCTTCAGAAAATTCTAGCTACAACTTACCAGATCATCCTTTTCTATTGTTTGGTTGAATTAGCTAATCACCTATTGCTCCAACAAGAAAAAAGGAGTAGTCCATTTTACTGTGAAGTCCAAGTTTACAAGCCTGAGCCCACGCTGCCTTTTGCAGGAAGCGGCTGCCCCCACAGCCACTTCAATCTGGGATGAAGTCAGAAGGCAGGGAGTGAAATCCCTTCCTGGGGACCTGCACCTTCTTCACGGGTTCTCCTGGACTTCGGGGGTCACCTCGGTCCCACATGTTGGGAACCAAGCATCAGTGACCCCAGGAATGTCAGGAAAGGTGCATCCCCCAAAGGGTCCTGACCTGCCTTGTCAGTCCACCACACAGACATGGCTAGTTTGGAGAACAGCATCTTCTTCCCTGGCCTTTGGTCCCAAGTGCTCGGCCTTCCTTCTGTCAGACACAGTCAGCCGTGCTGAACACCCATCACCCACGCGTGCGGTGCCTTGTTGCGTTTCTCATTTGTACACATCCAAAAGCAAAAGCTTTCCCCTAAGCCCTCTTGGTACGCAAACATCTTGACATTAATTTGTGCTAAAATGACTCGAGGACTAAAATCTAATCTAAGTCCAGAAAGGGGACTGTGATGACCTCAGCTAATAAAATACAAAAGCCTCTGGGGGGCCTGGGATTATTGTTAGTATTGTATATGGACCATCGCAACTATGCGCAAAACAGACACCCTACAGTTTTCCTACCAAGGAGCTGCTTATGAAAGGAAATAAAAGAAAAACCCAATTAGCACAGGCGCACAGGTGATGCTAGACACAGGCTGTTCCTCGTGCTGCCTCGAGGAAGAACAACCGTGCTGTACACAATTATTCGGATAATGATAATTTAATGAGTTTTTCCACTAAAAAAAGAATTTATACCTGACTAGAATTCTCTGCTTAGATATGAATGTAAAATTGAACAATTAAAAAATGGAATTCACAGGCACAGACTTTAATGGATTGTCTTCTACAGACATTTCTATAAGAGTGCAAAATTGTATAAAATGGAAAAAATGGTTTATATTCCAAGAAATCATTCCTCGTGGACCATGACAACTTTGAACAAAAATATTTTCACAAAATTTCAATTTAATCATCTTCTTTACAAGCACAACACTTAAGACTTTTCTCAATACAATTTTAGAAAGTGAAGCAAAAAAATAATCTCCATAGATGCCTGGTCGAGTCCATGCTGAATGCAAAAGGATTTTATTTTTTTCAAAAGTGATACTTCCAAGCTTTTCAATATTCTTCATGGGTCCATTTTGTAAAGAGTAAAGATGGCGGCCGTTTGGGCAATGGCTCATCCAATTCCATGATGCAGAATCCTCTTGCTGGTTAGCCCAAGGCGCAGTAATGAAGCTGGGCATGCCAACTTCTTCTAGAACTGCTCCTCCCTCTCTCCTTGTACTGAGGAAGCCGGCGGCTCTAAGAGGGGAAGACCTCAGCCCTCAACATTCCACGTTGCCAGTGCCCCATGAGGGTAGTCCAGCCTGTCACTTTAATTAACAACCTACTCTGTATACACATTATATAAAACTATATCCTTAGGGATTTTCATGGTGAATAAATAAGAAATCCAAGCACTGATGTATCTCATCCTCGTTTTCATATTAGGCGGCAGGAAATCTGTGAAATCACAGAAATGCTTCCAACACTCAGGGGGTACAGAATGTCTGACGCTGCCCTGGGGAACTTGACACTCACGGCCCTTAGCTCACTGAGACCAGGGCAAGATGTGCAGACACAGGAGTGAAGGGTGTGAGGTTTCTTTCTTCCCTTAACACTGTGCCCAGCCAGGAAGACTCGGGCCCGAGGGCTCTGTAAATACTCGAAGGGCAGCCATGAGTATGTAGGCAAAAGGAAGGCATGGGAAGGAGACGGGAGAAGAAAGACATGCATTTGTAAAACTTCCAATGATCAGTAACATGTGAGGGACTATTTTTTTTTTTGCATCACTCCTTCAGTGTTATTAACTGGCATTCTTTGAGGTTGCGCAAACCTATTCATGTTTAGTAGTTCCACTATAAAAACTCACATCTTCAGGGGCCACTAAGGGACCGCCCAGTCCACCCCATTCCCTGAGCAATCCTGCAAGGGTGGGAAACCAGTTCCACAGTCTAAGGCTGAAATGTTCCTGTGCAGCGGAGATAAAGCAGACAAGCAAACATCGGTTTCCTGGGGAAGGAAAAAGCAATTCCATAAAAGCAAGAGAGCGCCGATGCCTATGCTTTCAACAAGACCCTCCTCCGATTCTCCTGGCCTTGAGGAAGGGGATACAAGTGAGCAAGGCAAATGAGTTCTGTGAGTACGGTTTAAACAGTCACACACACATGCGCACACACGCGGATAACCCCGTGCAGGAAATAATACAACTTTCCCCCCCTTGTTTTCATTTGCATTTTGCTTTTATTTATTTTTGCTTTAATAATGCATATTCTGTTCACACAAAAGGTGCAAAGGACAGGAAGCAAGGGTCCAACTTGGCTGATGAAAAAAAAAATCAAGCAGAGAGGACATTTCTAGTTTCATGAGCAACCTAAAACTAGGAGAAACTGCAAAGTCACGGCCGGCTCCACAGAGCATTCCCAGCCTCACAGCTGTCTCTTCGCACCTTTGGCCAGAGCGAGAGAAGCTCTGAAGACAGCGGCCTCTAGTGGACTTGGGTGAGTGGCCATTTTTATTTACTTATTTCTTTTTTTTCTTTTTTTTTTTTTTCTTTTTAAATCATGGTAGCTGCATCACAAAAGCTCCAATCAAGAGGGTGGTAGAAAGAAGGCACAGATCATTGCAAATACCAGATTTTCTCTTTCTCTGTCAATATCACATCGTCTAGAAGCTCCCATTTCTCTTAGGGTGGTGGGGTTTGCTGGCAGGGGGAGGGGGACAGCTGGGGTCTACAATTGCATATGTAATAGAATGCTAAAAGGGCACACAAAGCGAGGCCGCTCGCTCCTGCCTGTGTGTGGTACACACACTAAGGGGGTCTGTGACAAAACACAATTTTAAAAAATCATAAAATTATAAAGCTTGTAAACGAATAATCTGAAATTACATTTTATTAATGGAAAATATCATCAAAATAGTACCACTATGGACTAAACTGCCTGAGTTTTCGTGTCACATGAGATCTCCAAGTAGAAAAGCCTGTAGCACAACTTGTTCTGCTTAAGTCACAACCAGTGCCAGAGCCAGGACTACGCCAGCGAAGATTCTCCTCTTGGGTGGGATTTGTGTTGTGCTGTCAGGATTTCTGTGCTCATCTTTCGAACAGGGACATGTTGAGGCAAACCTTTGATCTTTTGGCACAAGATTATTTTGGCTGGGGCAGAAAATTTGAGTCTTCGACTCAGGATGAATAATGTGACATCTCACTTATCAAGTATTCATTTTGATTGAAGAGCTTTCTTTATGTCATTCACTTCCATCTGTAAAGGGGAAGAAAGAACCGAACAATTCTTCATGAATTGGCTGGTTTCACAGAAGCTTGAGAGGTAATCAAGCTGGTTGACTGAAAGAAAGTAATCAACCTGACGATCTGAAACGTGAAATGAGCGAAATGATGTCTGAATGCAGAGTCCATGACAATGCTAGAAATGGCATGAACCCGGACAACAGATGCACCACCACGGCGCACCAGGGAACGGCGCACGCTTCAATTCCCGGGCTGCCCAGATGGGAAGTTTGTCAGAAGCAGCAGTAACTGCAGTTCCCTAGCCAGAGGGCGGCGTGGGCGCGCCTGCCATGCTGGACTGTTTGCTAGTTCTGGAGGGCAGGCAGGGCGGCCTGAGGGCGCATCTGTGCGTACCCTGCAGTGGTGCCAGACACTCAGCCGCCCTTTCAGGAAGCAGCAAGGTGGCCACCGGCTGGAGCAGGGCGGCAGGTCAACCTCTGCCCGTGTGCAACACCCCTATGCGCCCTGCTACCTGGCCATGGCAGACTTGGGTCAGAGACGCCAGAGGCAGACAGAGCTCAGATGCCCTGGCAGCACGCGCACAGCCGGCAGGGAGAAATAAAGACACGAAGAGCAAGTGCCGAGGGTGCACAGCCGTGGTCCCTGGATGGAGCCCGCACCATAGTGCCACGCCCTCCGGCAGCTCCCACTCATGAGCCCTCCTGGAAACTGCGGAGGCGTTTGAGATAACATGCCGCAGGGAAACTCAACGAGGGGAGCGCTGAGTGCTGTTCCCTTCCCCAAGACCTCCTGGAGCCCAGGGAAGGACGTGTGGTGAAGCCCACACACTAGTGAGCAAGGAGCCACCGGAAGTCTCCCTGGACCTGCACAGAAGCAACCGTCCTCTGCTTTGCACACTGAAGCCTGACTCTGCCCCTGCCCTCAACTGAGCCCCGGCCTCACGGGCAGCAGCGCCCCGAAGGACCCACCTCCAACCGAAGCCGGATTTTCTTCTCTTCGTCCAGCTCCGACAATAACTGCTTAATCTCTCGTCTGAAACACAAACAGGAAGGAAAGTCAGCAAAAGCCCGGGCTTCTCCGATGAGACATCAAAGACTTCTCAGTGCTACAAAATCCATCGGACCCTTTGACAAAGAAAGTGTGGACAAGACATTGTATTCGGTTTGCATCCTTGAACACTTCACACTTGTTTCCGACAGGCAGGCCTGCCACTACTTGGAACCCCCCGTCCCCCGCCATGTGAAGCCATCACACGGTAGGTCTGGAAATGACCTCTGAGATCCTTCGGTCCAAACCTCTCCATCAAGGAGAAGATGGGGGGACTACGGCCCAAGGAGTGCATTCCAGGTAACCAGGCAAACAGTCTGTCACCTGCCCTCTATTCCTTTATGACAAAATCACTGGTCTGTAAGGCTACTTCGAATAGTTTTTACTGCAGACATTTTTATCATGCCCTCTGTACTTCCTTTGTTTTCAACAGACTTTTAAAAATAGTTATTTATTTGACAAGAGAGAGAAGAGAGAGAGAATATGAGAACAAATGAATGAGTATCTTCCATTTACTGGCTCACTCCACAAATGCCTCCAACAGCTGGGACGGGGCCGGGCCAAAGCCAGAAGCCAGAAACTCTATCCAGGTCTCCCACGTGGGTGGCAGGAGCCCAAGTACTTGAGCCAACACCTGCTACCTCCCAGGATGCACATCAGTAGGAAGCTGGAATCAGAAGCAGAGCTAGGACTTGAACCCAGGCACTTCAATATGCGATAGAGGATGCCGTATCCCAAGTGTACCAAACTCCTGTCCCTCAACAGAATTGCAAATTAATAAATGATTATTGGAGGTTTTTTTTTTTTTTGGCCAGTTCTCACAAAGCCCTATGAATAGTAAGACCTGAAAACTTGGAGGTACAGTAACTGAACTAACCATATGGCAATCATGTCTTAGAGGGAGCAGACATGAGTTAGAATCCACAGCCTCATGCCTCTTCCAACATCCAATAATGAAGTAGAACAAAACTCATCATCTCTCAGAGCCAGGGCTTGACAGGGCACCACAACCATCCAAATACTGGGCAGAGAGCTGTATTCCAACACTCCATTTTACCTTTCCATTTGCAAACTGGGGTGCAAATTGCTTTTAAAAGACTGTGGAAATTGCATAGTGACTGCGGTAGAAGCAATACTGCATTTGCTCACTTCGTACGAGCACCATGAATATCCCTATGCTTGGGACACTGTCCCAGCACTGCTGTCAGCACATTGGGTTATCTGGCATTAACCAGTGTTTGATTCATTACTGTATTTATCCCAGCATACATGATGCAGGCGTATCTCAGTGCACTTAGGGTTTAGAAAAGAAGTAGACGGTGAGATCTCGGAGCCAGTGCTGTGGCGTAGCAGGTAAGGCCACTGCCTGCAGTGCCGGCATCCCATATGGGCGCCGGTTCGAGTCTCGGCCGCTCCAATCCAGCTCTCTGTTATGTCCTGGGAAAGCAGTAGAAGATGGCCCAAGTCCTTGGGACTCTGCACCCACATGAGAGACCCAGAAGAAGCTCGAGGCTCCTGGCTTTGGGTCTGCTCAGCTCCTGCCGTTGCAGCCATCTGGGGAGTGAACCAGTGGATGGAAGACCTCTCCCTCTCCCCTCTCCTCTCTCATAGAAACTATGACTTTCAAATGAATAAACAAATCTTTAAAAAAAAAATGAAGGTAAGATCTCAAGCCAGTGGCACAACCCCAGGGAGACTACGGCAGGTAAAGCCTCGAGCAGTCCAGGCAGGGACAGGTAGCTGGGGAAGGATGGCCAAAGAAAGTCTGTAAAAATGAGTGTAAGACTGCGAGAAGGAAGGGTGATGGGGAAAAGCCAGGGCAGAAGCAGCGAAGTGGCAATCAGCCACTTGGAAGTGAGGAGAGTTGTCAGAGACTTGACTTGAAGGCTGAAAGGAAAGTGCCACCAAGAGTAGACGTAGGACACTGGCAGGGGAGGTCACTGACTCTGGGCATGAGGGCCAGGCTGAGGAAGGAAGAGGGGCCACCATGCAATGTTGATTCAGGATGTGAGATGGGGAAGGACAACCGCGGACAACCGCTGACAGCTGGCGGAGAAACACAGGGTGCAGCAACCCCCAAGCCCAGGTGGCTCTGTGCTCAGAGGCAGGCTCAGGCCATCCTGGAAGTGTAGGCAGGCTCCAGACCCCTCCCAGAAGCTTCAAAGGCTCAAAGCCCTGGACCTAGGCCAGTCTGATTCAGCAATGTTTATGGAGATGATTCAGCAAAGTTTATGTAGATGGCTGAGCACCAGCGATCTGAGATCTCCTGGGGCGATGGGGTCACTGCCTAGGCAAGGACACATGTGGACATGGTTGGATCTTTGGGTACCCAGACATGTGTCCTACAGAATCAGATGGGACAGGGCAGCCTAAGGAGGTGGGGCAGGCTGATTGGATCCAGGAGCCCCTGTAAAGTATCTTCCTGTCAGTTCTGTACATTTAGCTGATGAGTCTCTTCCAGGCAGGTGTAAGTCTAAGAGGCCCCAATTTCATCTGACACACCACCCAGCCCAAGTGGAACAGAACGTGCTTGGAGCCACGTTGCTCAAAGTGAGTACCATGGAACATGTGTCCTGGGAGGCTCTAGCAAGAGCTTGTTCTATGATAGAGCATGTTTGGGAAACACCACATATGCTAGCTTCTCCATCCCTCAATGTACAGTGAGGGTTCTGAGAAGTTCTTCAGGGAAGAAATTAGCTTAACCCAATTATCCCCAAGAGTGTGTGACCACAGAACACTTTGGGGTCCTCCAGTCCTGAACGGGGAGGCAGGTGACAGGGCTCCTGCCAGCCCCAGACGCCCTCCTGAGGGTACAACCGTAGGGCTCCCGCTACATCTCCCACCACTGCGCTGGATACCTCCTGATCCAAGATGGCCAGCTGCCCGGGGTACACTCACCTCCATGCACCCATGAATCCGCCCGTGGTCAGGCCACTCTTGGGAAACCCCAATCATCTTTCCACATCCTACTCAAGCAATCTTTTCTTGAGATGCCTCCCCTGTTTCCCAACTGACCCCTAAACTCAGAGCCTGTTTCCTTGGGGAAGTGCCTCTTACTTCTGCCAGCTCTGTCACTGCCACCAGCATCCCTGGTGATGCTGAGCGCCAAATGAAGAACTTAGGGTTGCTGATGTCAGAGGCAAAGCTGGCTGTTGGCCTTGTTTACAAAGTAGCCCACACACATACTGTTTTTAACGGGGGGATTTTAAGAATCTTCCTTTCCAGCAGCCCGCTGAGAGTGGCAGTCCTTGCAAGTGACTCATCCCTGCACGTCCCGTGGCCAACCTGTGACCTTCCTGCACATGGTAGGCCCACAGTAACGCGCAGCATAATTCAAGTACACATGCAGCCCCCTGGGGTCCACAAGCCCTCCCAGCACCGCTGCCTCCAGCAGCAGGGCGGCCGGTTCGCGTCCTGGGGCAGGCTGGCCAGGCTTTGAGAAGCAGGCCTTGCCGGTGGGAGAGCCACAGTGGAGGGAGCTCCCGGGGTCCCTGGGTACTCACTTCTGCTGGTCCTTCATGGTCTCAATGATGCTCCTCAGCTCGCGGACCTGTGTCCTCAGCTCCTCCACGGCGGCCTGGCCGCTGCCCGCGGGCTCCATCTTTGGTTTTCCTTCCATGCCGAACAGAGATGGGGAGTTGGCTCTGTGTCCAGCTGTTCCCAAAGAGGACGACAGGGCAGAGGGTGCCGCCGAGGACAGAGGGGCTGGCCCTCCACCTCCTGCTGCCATGGTCCCTGGCTTGGGCGGCAGGGACGCTTTGCTGTCGGACACCTGTGATGATGGAAGGTGGGGAGGACTCAGGGCCGGGGCTGGGGAGCTGTGCCTCTGGTCCTGGGCAGTTCAGCCGTCTGCCAGCAGCCCCGGCCCCTCAGCCCACACAGTCCACTTGCTCGGTCCTTCATCCACAGGTCACCAAGGGCTTACTTGGTGTAGCCTTCTCCAGGCTTTAAATCTGACCTTGCTTTGAGACAGATTCTAACTGGCTCCACAGATACCTTGAGATGTCCACTGCTGGCCAGTTGTCAGACTGTGAAGCGAGCAAGACATTGGCCTGGCCCTCAGTGGGCCACAGACAGACAGACAGACAGACAAAGCAGCACACTGCAGCTGAGGGGAAGGTTGCCCAAGAAGGAGGGCAGCACAGAGCAGGCCGGAAGTACATCAGAGGGGCCAACCATGCCAGAGAGAAGGCAGCGGGAAGGAGGAGCCCACAGCCCCACCCTGGAGGAAGAAGCCGTAGGACGCAGGACAAGGGGTAGCTATTCAGCTTGACGACAAGGTCAGAGAGGACAGGAGCAAGCTAGGGAGGGAGAGGATGGCTGGGGCGGTGGGAGGCTGAGAAAGACCACTCGCCGGCCGTGGAAGGGCCTGAGGGCTGGCAGGTCTGGCTTGGCAAAGAACTCCCTGGAGAGTCTCACGCAATGGAAGCTAGGAATGGGGAGGGCTTGACCTGGGTGACATGCCAGAGGCAGGTGCATCCAACAAAGAGTCCGGGACAGGGTTTGTTCCCGGCTCCGGGGTGGGGAGTGGGCATAGCAGATGGAGTCCCTGCCCTGGGGGAGCAGACATTCCCCAGACCAGAGGGATGTCTGTGTTCCCAGGCAGGCTGGGGGGGGGGGTCTAGTTCAAGGGCTGCGGGTGGGGCTGGAGGAACAAGGGGTGGAGGTTGCCCATTCTGTGGGAGTGAGAGCAGGTGCAAGGCCCAGATGATTTCAGTTTTAGATGCGCTGAACTTGAGGAGCCCAAAGGATGGCAGAGGGGGCATGCTCAGTGGACAGAGCCGGCGACCGAAAGAGGAAGTAGAAGCCGTGAGGTGGACAAGACAGAAGGAAAAGAGGCCCAAAGTCGGGACCTGCAGGGGAGAAGGAAGGGAGAGCCTTTGGTGACTGGAAGACACTGACGAGAGAGGGGACAGGGCCTTGGATCAGGAAAGTCCCAGACGGACAAAAATGGCTGGGCAAGGAGGCCAGCGGTGCTGCCAAGAAAGCTGGGGGAAGCCCATTCGGTGGCCCACGGGAGACAGGAAGCTGACTGTGGTAGGTCAGTGCCCACACAGGAGGGGGTGGCGCGACCTGCAAGCTGAGGATGCGCTCAGCAGAAACCGAGGAAGGAAAATCGTGGCGAGCTCGTGCAGAAGCCTCAGGGGGAGACAGCACGAAAGAAGGGGTTGGGACGCTTCCAGTGATGGGTGACACCTGCAGTTGCACAGTATCTGGAGCGGATGAGCTGCTGGAGGGCCAGGTGGAAGACAGAGGGGACAGCCGGGGGCGGCCTGATGGGGAGAAGCATCCTATGAAGGGCACCCATTCGGCCAGGAGAGGGCGCACCAGCAAGGGAAGGTGAGTCGGTGGGCAGGTGGGCAGGTGAGGAGGAAGCAATGCACGATAGCATAGGATGTCAGGAGGTGAGGGCTCAGTGACAGGGCAGCAGTTGAGGCTGGTGATGAAGCTTGGCAACGCAGCCACGGGACTCCCTCCAGCAGCAGGCGCCCAGCCGGCCACCCCAGGGCAGGCGCCAAGAAGGGGCTTGGCTGGCACCACGAGGAGGTAGACTCTGGATTCAGGCTGCGCTAGAGCCTGGGCAGAGTGAGCCAGAAGCAGATGGGCCCTCATTCCCTGCCTCCCTGCTCGCCTTTTCTCTGCCAAGTTGCCATTGAGGAAAAGTGCTCTCTGCTGCCAGGGAGAGCCATCCGCCAGCCCGTGCTTTCTTGTCAGCAGGAGTTCTAGTAAGAGGCAAGAGGAACTGACATTCCTGGAGCACGGATCGCACGCTGGAGGTCGGCGAGACAGTTCAAGCCGAGATGGGCTGGCAGGAGCAGTTTGAGAGTGAGGCTTCCGGAGGCGGCCGAGTAACCCCCCGCGTCTCACAGCCCATCCCTGGGGAGCTGGACTGCGCCCTCACTACCGACAGGTGCCCTCATGCCTGAGCACCGCGGCTCGGCAGCCAGAGTGTGAAGATCTGCGCTCTCCTCTGCTTCTTTTCTTGGCTCCTTACCTACTCCCGGGCTCACACCTCTTCCTGCTTCCCTTCCTGCAGCCTTTCACACCTCCTGTGACCCACCAAGCCCTTACAATGACTCACTGCCAGACGCTCTTGTGTTAAAGCTTCTCCCGGCCCGTCTCAGCTAACAAGTACTTTTGGAGCCCTTAGAGAGCACAGGCCACCACACTCCTGATCAAATTAGTTCAAGTGTAATTTCTAGAAGCAGAGAACACAACATAACAGCTCCCGAGAACCGCAGTCAGCTAATGCGATGGAACTGTGCAAATCAGAAATGCGAAACGCCACTGTCCACCAGTAGATGTCACTGTGGAGACACCCTAGGGAGGTGAGCAAGCAGCAAACTGCAGATACCTATGATCACCAGAAAAAACTGGTCTAAATCCAATTCCGCAAACGAAATCTTTTGGCAAATGAAGAATACTTAAGTTTTATGGATAATTGGAATTCGTCTGTTTTATAGGATCAGGCTATGCTTATTTTGTCAGATTTTGAAGAAATTCTACACATGTAGATGTTTAAGTCTGCAAAGAGGAAAGTCCCCCCGTATCCCTTGATTTCTTTGGGCTACTTCCTGCTTCAAGTGATGATACGTTTCTGCATTTGGAAGAAAACCAGTTGCTCGTGTTCTGAGACCAGAACTGCACCTGACTGAGATTTCTCAGTGTGAGAAGATAGGATTTCCAAGTCTTCGTTCATAGGCATTGAAAGAACAGAACCTGTACAGGGTACTCTTTCAAAGTTACATGTAGTAGCTTCATGGTGTTTTATATTCCACAAAATCAATGACTTCAAATAGCTATCCTGTCGCCTGGGCATGTGGTGAAAGTGAAATATTTTTAGACTATAAATTAATTCTAAAACAGGAACTCAAGTCAGCTTTTCTTTCAGGGACCACATTCGTTATTTATATTTGTAATGGTCCAATGCTACTCTGTGACCAGCTCTGAATGTAAAAGACAAGATCTGTGGGCAGAGGGCACGGCATGTAATGCTTTTGCCCTCGGACACCTTGAGGCTTTTGAACTGGTTTTGACCATGGTGGTGTTTGTGTGTGGGGACATCTGTGCCACTGTGTGTGTGTGTGTGTGTGTGTGTGTGAGAGAGAGAGAGAGAGAGAGAGAGAGAGAGAGAGAATGAAGAGGAGATCTGTCCACAAGAGAAAATATGGAAAGACCCGACTGAACATGCGCCTCTGGGGTTCTGCCCCACTCTGTACTCTGCGAAGCCTCAGGGGTTCTGAGGGCCACAGGAATCACTACCACTAAGGAATGGTACACACCCGTGCTGTCTGCGCGTCCCTGTGTGATGTATCACCCCTCGTTAGTGCAAGCACGGAAGGGCAGGGACCCCCTTGCCCTGGCTGGTCACTCACTTGGGATATGGCAACAGTCTTGGAAGTTTTCTTTGACGCATCCACTCCTCTGTGTGCAAGTGAAATGTGTTCCTCTTTATCTTCTTCGGGACTTGGGGAGTCGAAGATATCAGGGCTTGAAAGGGAGGACTGGATAAAGCCAAAAGAAAATGACGTCGTCAGAATTACACCTCAGCTGACACCGCGTTCGTTAACATGGCGCCGTATGCTTTTAAAAGGCCTGAGCGCTTCTGCGTTGTTGCCTTGATATAACCCCGTGCGGCAGGGCAGCAAGCGTGCTAGTAGCGGTGCGCGCGAGGGAAAGGCCCACAGCTCGTCCGCGGCAGCACTCGGATGAGAAGCAAGGCTTCCCAAACCAGGCATCTCTCCACTGGCACCAAACCACTCTATGCACATAAGCGTCCACCATCCACCCTTTCCTGCTCGCTCCCTCCTCTACCGTGTGCGCAGGCTTAATGGTGACGTGCCACACACGGTCCCTCGTCCTCGCGGGGCTGACGGCGAATGGGAAGAACACACAGGTCAACAGGAGGCTGCCTTTCCTCCATTCCCTGCTCTTCCTTGGCTCTCTCCCACAATCACTGACTCTGCTGCACGCTGCTGCGCCCTGAAGGATGTGTTGGCGAGGCAACCATTTCCAGGGGCAAGGGACCCCCAGGCATTTCCGCAGCCTGGGGGCACAGCCCTGCCCGCTGGCACAACAGTTCTTACCTACTTGGGTTACTACTGCTCAATCTCTGCCCTCAACACTGCTGACAGTCAACGCTCATTCTGGAGTCTGTATCTGCTGAAGCATGCTTGCAGAATGGGGAATCTTTGGGGTGCATTATGGGTACAAGACGTCTGGCCTTTCTTCCTTACTATGACGGTCACAAAGCTGGCTGGCTGGGACCAATGCACTGGAATTCATTTGGTCATAAATGATTACTGCATTGGATGGAATCTCCATATTTTAGAACAATGTTAATGAAAATAAGCAAGGAATCTTTTTAAATGAAAGAATGTTCCAGAGAAATCTTGGGGTGAGCTCAGGCATCCTCATCTCAATGCCTTTTACCCCGGTGGTAGAAAATAGTCCTACTGAGAATCACCACCTGGTATCATTAGAGAAAAATCAGGCATAATATGACTTACTTCAGTTTAGCTACTAAGATAGAAGCCTATTACATTCCAGAGAATTTTTAAGCAAAATTTCCAATGTAGGAGGAGTTATTTGTTAATCTTTATTTAATCTGAAAATCCAATTACCTGGAATAACTGTCCCCCACTCCCACCCGCAAGTGTTCTTATTGATCTAGGCATTAACTGCTTAACCACCATGGAACGCCCGGATCCTTTCATCATTCTGAGATTGTATTCGAAAAGCCAGTTTCTTCCTTACAACCCATGGTTCTGAGCTGCCAGTCACAGCTTGCTCTTTGAAACTTGTAAGCATAAATAGCTTCAACTGGGGTGAGAGGTCCCCAGTTGGGAGATCATGGCTGGTGCCATTTCCTTCATCATCACCCCCCCCCCCCCCCGGCCTTTGAGGAGTATGGCCATATCCACTAATCCCAGCTTGCTATGAAAAAGCCAAGGTGCTAACTAGAAGAAGAGGAAATCGGAATTCACTGCTCACGTCTAGATGGGGAGGGGTGGGCACGAAGGGAAAGAGTACAGGGATGATCCTTCTTGAAGACAAATGGGTCCTGTTGTTTTCCGCCTGCAGATAAAACTGCTTTCTGCAAAATGCCAAGCTGCGAGTCACGGTGCCAGCAGCTTCCTGTGGGCAGTGACTGCTAAGAGTGACTTCTTTTTCCCAGCCGTAGCCTTCAGATCTGGCTCAGCGCTGAGCCCATGGGAGACAGATGTCTATAAATGTGACGGTACTTCACAAAGTTCGTGGAATACAAAATTCAAAGAAATTTACCTTGATGCAAAACATTCCTGAGAACTTTGCATAGTTTTTTCATGATATGTGTTTTCCATGAACCTTTTGAAGTCCTCTTGTATTTGCTGAACAAATGAATGACAATGTAGTCTACAAGCCGAGTGAAGATGATACGCCTTTACCTGGTCCCCAAAATACAAACCAAGTCCCAGACAGGGGATGAATGGACCAAAGGTGGGGTGGAGACTGTCATCTGACTCTCTCTGTATTTAATTCTGGAACCACAAGGGAAGAATTTGGAAGGAAAACAAATGAAGGATTTATAGAGATGAAGTAAGACTGAAAATTGAAATAAACAGGTAAGAAGAAGCAATTAGATAGGTTGTATGTACATGAGGCATATTGGGGTGGATGTGGAGAGGTATGAGGCGAAAGAAAAAAGAGGGCATTGACACAGAACTCTATTTAAGAGTGAAAAAGTTAAGTCACTTCTTAAACTCTTTGTCCCAAAAAGGTGCCAATACAGAGATGGGTTTATTTCATACAAATGAGACATATAGGATGACTCCAATCATATTTCCAGAATCGGTAGCTACAAAAGAGGAGGTTGAAATGGAATTCCATTCTCTTCCTTGTAAATGATGATAACCTAGGTGGGATCAGCAATGAGGGGAAAATAGAAAGTATCCTGGGAAACCTAGAAAGATGAATTCCTTGGTGTATCTAGGTGGGGATTATAAGGCCTCAGAGGAGAAGGACAAAGCAATGCAATACACAGAGATAGATAAATATACAGATACCTCAAAAAGTTCATAGAAAATCAAGTTTGACTTATTTTGGTGCAAAAATGTTGGAAATTCCTGCATAATTTTCCATAATGCAAATTTTCCACTAACTTTTGAAGACCCCTTGTATGAATGGATTTCAAATTGTTTTTAGACCAAAATTAATTTCTTCTAATTGCATTTGTCTATGAACTTTCTGAAGTACCCTCACAGACATACAGATTCTCTCACATGTGAATGCATGTATGTGCTTGCGTGTGTGTGAGCATACACACACACACACACATTCCTGGTGGAAGACAAACTTGACCTCTGTAGAGGGGAAGTTTACAACCTGTGACGAAAGCATCCATCGCTTTTTGACCCACTTTCAGAAACTTTCCACCTAAGTGAATAATTTTGGAGCAGTCCCAAGATTTTTCTACAGTGACACTCACTTGAGTGCTGATTATGATGAAGAACTGGGAACAACATAAATACCTCAAAACGGTCCACTGGCTGGATAAACTCCCATCCTCTGGGGTTAAGACCAGTAGGTGGCCATTAAATACAGCATTAAGGAAGAGCTGCTAATGACTAGAGAAAGGAGCATAGTATGGGGGAGCAGGGGTGGGGAGAGCAATTTGCAAAACAATGTATTCTATAGGTGAGCTCAATTTTTGAAGAAATTATTTTATGAATACAAAAATGTTTTTAAAGTTAAAGATGCATAGCAAGAGGTCAAGAATTCTTTGCTTTGGAGAGGAACAGTATAGGCCAGTGTGTTTTGTTGTGCAAATCTGGTACGATCAATGTGTAACAGGTTTGCAATAAGAAGTGATCCAAAAGGATCCACACAAGAAACTTCTGTGGCCTATGACAGGTGTTCTGCTTGGTCTGTCCTATATAGACCTCCCAGAAGGTCTGCGTGGGGTTCTGCGGGGCGGAGGTGTGGACAATGGAGCTTGGGGAGGTGAAGACTCAGCCACTGCCTGGTGCTGTACTGGTGGCAGGTCTTTAGTCAAGGGTTGTTTTGCTTAGAAACCAACCAGCCTCGTTCTCCTTTCCCCACCATGACACATGCTCCCCTCCCCCCAACCAGCTTCATTTCAGGTTGAAGCAAGAATCATTCTGGAAGGGGAGCAAAAGAAGAGGGGAATAGGGAGTAGCCACCCTGGTGGCAGAAACACACTGAGTAAACAGACATAAACACGCTTGGTTCAAGCAGGTTCGCAGATCACTAGTGCCTGGCACGTAGTGCACGGCCTCCCCTCGTGGGGAGCCCTCCGGTCAGCTACTTGCGGAAGCATCCTCAGCCAGCCCGAGTCCTCCGTCTTCTTTCCTGCTTGTCATCTGCAGAGAAGGAGGAGCCACTTACAGATGTGAGAGACTGGGACGGAGGCCGCCTCCCCGTCGCTTTTGGTCTGCTTGTGGTTGGGTGGCTGAGTTTCTCAGTCGATGACACCACGGAGTCAAAACCTTCTAGGTCTAAAACGAAAGTAAAACAGAGACTTTTAAGGGCAAAAACAAGAGTGAGCAAAGGTTCTCAGAGTACGGCACAAGGCCCCCCATTTCCTTAGTAATTGTCCTTCCCACGTGGCTCGCGCCTCACCTTTCACAAAGGCTGTTTGCATTCAGAGGTCACTCAATAAACGTATTTGATCTGAATGAGTAGCCATTTCCTCCTCAGTTTAAGGCGCTAGCATGGAAGAGAAACATGACTTTTCTTTTTCCCTTCAATAGCTATATCCATAAATCTTTAAAAAGCTACAGAAAGAGGATTAAAGGAAGACTCCTCTTTCTTCCACAAACCCAAGGCCATTCTAGTAGATAAAACATCCTTGTGGTCTCCACAGCAAACCCTGTGATCACCAGGTCCAAGAGCCTCGGGCAAGTGCATGCTGCGCCTTGATTTCCGAAGACAGGAGGGAGGGCAGGCGCTCCCCCGGCTGGGCCACGACAGTCTGGCCATCAGCTTTCACCCTGACGGCAGACAGTGAACTCCCCCAGGAGGAGACAAAGCCTGCACTTCTGCAGAGAACTCGTGGAGCCCGCCCCACTCTGCCTTCAGAGGCGTTACTCGGTGGAGACATTGGCCTCTGCAGCTGTCAGTCTGTTCATCCATTCCCTGCACTGCTACTGCCTATGTGGTGCCACGCAGGGTGCGGTCCTGAGGCTACACCAGCAAGCACAGCAGACGTGGGCCCTGCCCTCAGAGCGCTTACATCCCAGTGCAACACGGACTCAGACCAACACAGACTCATTCAGCCACTTCGTCACTGCACCTGCCGTGTGTGGGGAGGAAGGCCTCTGCAGTTACCTTGCCACCTTCTTCAACGATCAGGCTGGTGGCCAGCCGGTTCTCCGAGATCGGAGGACTGACAAACCAAGTGTGCGTGTGAGAGACGTGCTGAAGGGAATGGCTAGCACGAAGGGGCTGGTCCTGCTCGTGGCTGGGGCAATGCCATTTATCCCAACAGCACAGCAGCCACTGCCTTCCCAAACCATTCCCCGCTCTTTCTTCTAACGGGGGCCCGGTTTTGTTTCAGGATAAAGTGCTCAGTCCCTAACCTGAACTATGTTTGCCTGGGACTGGTCTAAAGGTGGCTGTGGAACCCAGTTTGAGTTTCTGACAAATAAAGGGAAGTCTACTGAGAGCCTCTGGGAAAGAGACTGCGTCTCTGGCTGGAGAGAGGCGGGGAGAGGAGAAGGTATTTCGTGTCACTGTCTCTCTCGTTTCCTGCCTGGGGTGCTACTGTGTGAGGATAGGATACCGGGAGCTGTGGCAGCCAAGTTAGGGCCAGGAGGGGAGGCCTGGCCAACGTTTTGGAGACCCTGAGACTAGCAGAGAAGAAAAATTAAAAGTGCCTCAGTGCCCGGCGACTGTGCTGAGGCACCTGCCCAAACCTCTGATGACCTAGCGCTCAGGCGGTGCGCCACAGGAAATTAACAAACTCCTCTTATTTGAGCATGTTTTAGTCAGATACTCATTATTTGTAGATGAAAATATCCTAACAGCCATAATTGCAAATCTGCTGGCTCAGGCCAGAGAAGTTAACACGGAAATGATGTGAGGTTTCCTCCCCTCACTTTGGGCGAGAACGCCTTTGCTGATGGTTCTAAGTGGGCTGGTGGTGTGAACGCTTTATTCTGTGAATGCACAGACGAGCAAACTATGTCCTTTAGTGGAAAATGCAAAACCAAGCACAAATCACTGGTCGGGGAAGCCAGTAACTTACACCTGGGATTCTATTAAGTGACATTATTCTAGCCCTTGGTGAATGAATAATTACTCAATTAGCTCCTCTTATCAGGGCAAAGCAGGTGTAATCAAAGGTTAACCATCTGCAGAGATGGCTGGGAAAAATATCAGTGGTGCTGTTCGGCCAACAAGAAGCTGATCAGCGTCCAGCACCTCCGTGAGGCTCCTAAGGGCCCCCCTCTCCAGGCACCTCAGCAGGGTGCTGAGAAGGCCCTGGGCGAGGCAGCCCAGAGATGTCCTCTGCCGGGTCACACTTCTCCAGAGCTGGCTCACTGGACTGACCCCTCTCAGAATCTTTGCTAACTCCCCATGACACATTTGGGCTGAGACAAAATGCTATCATCTAGCATCCTCCCCTCCCCCGTTAACTCTACATGTTCAATGCATGTTTTTTTAAAAGTCCATGAAACTGGGGCCGCCATGTGTGGTGTGATGGGTACAGCCACCGCCTGCTACTTCAACATCCAATATGGGCACTGGTTTGAGTCCCAGCTAATCCACTTTTTTTTGACAGGCAGAGTGGACAGTGAGAGAGAGAGAGACAGAGAGAAAGGTCTTCCTTTGCCGTTGGTTCACCCTCCAGTAGCCGCTGCGGCTGGTGCACCGCGCTGATCTGAAGCCAGGAGCCAGGTGCTTCTCCTGGTCTCCCATGGGGTACAGGGCCCAAGCATTTGGGCCATCCTCTCCACTGCACTCCCGGGCCACAGCAGAGAGCTGGCCTGGAAGAGGGGTAACCGGGACAGAATCCGGTGCCCTGACCAGGACTAGAACCTGGTGTGCCGGCGCCACAGGCGGAGGATTAGCCTATTGAGCCCAGGCGCCGGCCCCAGCTAGTCCACTTCTGATCCAGCTCCCTGCTACCGGCCTGGGAAAGCAGTAGATGGCGGCCCAACTACTTGGGCCCCTGCACCCATGTGGGAGACCTGGAAGAAGCTCCTGGCTCCTGGCTTCGGACCAGCCAAGCTCCGGATGTTGCAGTCATTTGGGGAGTGAACCAGTGGATGGCAGACCTCTCTCTCTTTCTGTAACACTGACTTCCAAATTAATAGATAAATCCTTTAAAAAATAAAAGTCCATGAAATTGTAACAACAAAAGAAACCCAACTGTAAATTGTCATCTTCCCACATCCGGACAACCACCATTGGTATTTTAGTATATTTTCCTGTAGGCTTTTTTTCTATCAATAGACAGCATAACTCATGTTATATGCAATAGTGCACTTTGCTTATTTCACTTAATTTTAGATGCCATGTCTCTGAAAACTCTTCACAAATCTTGATTGTTGGAGAATCCTCTATGACCATGTAGCCCGTGACTTATTTAATCAGCCCCCTAGTGTTGGAGAATTCATTTCCAAATCGTTCCCCCTCCTATGTTTTGCTCTTGTACTCCTTGTGCACACCCCTCTAGACAATGAGTTTAGCAGGTTACCCACACAGACCCCCGGCCCCTCTGGGAGAAGGGAATGAGGGTGAGGGCAGGAAGGCCTCCTGGAGGGGGTGGGGATGGCTAGGGACAGAAGACATGAAACTGAGGAGCCGAATCTGAGCAGGAAGCCAGGAAACGAGATAGAAGAGCAGCCGTTCAAAGTTCCAAGCAACAGGTCACTGCCAAGTGCCTTGGCGGGGAGCTACCAGGGACTAAGCGGGGCAATCTATGTCATGGCTGTGTCCAGGAAATGGAAACAAGCTCTGGAGGCAAAAGCTGAGCAGGACGAAGTCATTAAAGAACAACTACAGGCTAATGACCTCTGCCTTTCTTCTTTGGCTGCATGGTGCACTCAGCTGGACAATTAAAACACAAAGCCAAAATTGCAGCCCTGGACCCCAGCCCAGGGACTGGCTTGCTTGGCCTGGGGTGCGTGGGTAGGAGCCAGTCTCCCCAGGTGATACGAATGTGGCAGCAAAGTCTGGGAAGCATGTTCCAATAGAGGTCAGGGAGAGGGATAACCAGGGATGTGGCCAAGTGGAGGAGCGGCCACCAGGTGAATGGCAGGGTGTTCCCAGTGCTGGGGGACAACCCAGGTTTGGAGCATTTGATGAAACTGGTGGCCAAAGGCTCCGATGATCAATGGTGGGTCAGACACTGCCGCTGCAGCGAGGAAGGTGGCCCGAGAAGTGACCTGGTGCATACAGTGGACTGGGGAATGTGGCATGGCAGGGGCGTGAGGGGAGCAAGGGCAGCGGTGACACAGCTTCACACGCCCACTTGGCATGGACTAAATGCACTGGTGTGCAGGGATGGCCAACTCCACGTAAGGAAACTGCTGCCAGGCTGTGGGGAGGACTCCACCTTCACTCCACCCTGCTGGGACCAGTGACACAGTTAATTAAGTGCACCTGGGAGACCCGGGGTGGCCAGGCATGAGGCAGCGGTCCGCGATGTACTCCACTGTCAGGTGGCCTCACCTAGGTTGTGAGTCCCAGGAGGCCAGGAGCTCATCTGGGCATTGTCTGTCTTTCTTTTTTTGGATTTTTTAAAAAAAGATATATTCTTATTTGAAAGGCAGAGTTGAGAGAGAGAGATGGAGATGGAGAAGGAGAGACAGAGACAGACAGAGAGGTATCTTCCTTCCATCTGCTGGTTCACTCCCCAGATGGCCACAACAGCCAGAGCTGGGCCGATCCACCAAAGCCAGGAGCTTCTTCTGGGTCTCCCACGTGGATGCAGGGGCCCAAGGACTTGGGCCATCTTCTACTGCTTTCCCAGGCCACAGCAGAGAGCTGGATTGGAAGTGGAGCAGCGGAGACTTGAACTGGCACCCGTATGGGATGCCGGCACTGCAGGCTAGGGCTTTAACCCACTGCACCACAGTGCTGTGGGCATTTTCAAAGCCTAGCACATGCCCAGGAAAAACACGCTCCATAGTCTATCAGTGAAGAGACAAGCAAACAATGAACACACAATCTCAAGGTAAAAAAGCCTCTTCTTCCAGGAGCACAGCTTAGAGACGTGGCTCTTCACATGACTGTGGGGTGTGGGGTGTGGGGTGTGGGGTGTGGGGTGAGGAGAGGCTGGTGGGAGACAGCTTTGGTGCAGAAGGCAGCGTTGTCCACAGTGGCTGCATCAATCGCCTGGCTGACCCACTTTGTTGTATGGGCTGAGGCTTACGCTGAAACAAACTACGCACGCTGAAGCACGTGGCAAATGTTTGTGTCACTTAAGGCTAACAGCAGGGGCGGAGTGCCTCACGGGGAGCCACTCTTCCCCCGTTCCTGCCCGTGT